CGTCTTTTCTGTCCGCCGTTGTGAAACTACGCAGAGAAGACATTATCCGGGTTACCATGTCTGAAAACTATAATGATCTGGTTGAGATGAGGAAGCTTTCAAATTATTTTGGTGTGATCAAAATGTAAATTATGATCCAATATCGTTGTGGCGGGTGGGGGCTGGGGTCACGGGACGTGGGGGGTGTTTTGTGTGTGAGTGTGCCTCTCAGAAAGATCCAAGACCTTGACTACTGATGTGCGACCAAGACTCCCCCGGTTCTTACCCATAACACAAGGGATGCACGAATGTTGGTTGGTTGGTTTGTTGTTTTACGCCGCATCCAAATGGATGCACAGATTTGGCTTACGTTGTGGATGAAATATGCTGTTTGTTTGTTTGTTTGTTGTTTAACGCCGCACTCACAATATTCCAGCTAAATGACGGCGGTTTGTAAATAATCGAGTCTGGACCAAACAATTGCGATACGATGACATGCATCATCAACCAAGTCAGCGAGCCTGACAACGGGTCAGAAGAAATATGCAACCGATTCTCCATTGGTCATGTTCTAAATATGACCCTGTGATATCACGGGATGTTTATATACAATTTGGTAACCGGAGACAAACGGGAAATTACTTTCTTTGTTTGTTGTTTAACGCCGCACTAAGCAATATTCCAAAAGATATATGACTGCGGCCTGTAAATAATCGAATGTGTCCCAGACAATCCAGCGATTGATATCATGAGCATCGGTCCACGCAATTGGGATACGATGACATGCTTCAACCAAGTCAGCGAGCCTGACTCCCGATCCCGCAAGTCGCCTCAAGCGAATGGTGTTAAATTTGACTAAATGTATCTAGGAAAATTGGTATTCGCAACAAAATCGTAATCATTATATATATATATCACTATATATACTATATATACTCACTGCCAAAAGAAACGCGAACCATAGAAACATATAGAGAAGAATGTAGGTTAAGAAGAGATGTTTCCAATGCGTACAACTTAATGACAAAACTAACAATCAGTAAAGTGTTACCACGAAGTGTCTTTATTCTTATCATGATCTGCTGCACGTGATTTCCAAACTTTACGCGCTCATCCTGCACGAGACAAAAGGTGCATCTCGAGTCCTGCATTTATGACGTCACATGTGATGCGTTCATGAGCGTCGGTTCACACAACATACCAGTATGTTCGTTTCTGCATCGAACTAATCTAATATCCCTTGAATATGAGAAAATCTTCAAAAATTAACCAGCATGCATCATAATGGTATTCGCGTTTCTATTGTGGGTGAGTATATAGGAATCATTTCTAAAACTAACCGAGGTGTAAATAGTGATTGAATAACAAGCAGCTGTGAAGTTGTGTCAACATATTTACTTTCCTCTACTGAAACTCAAACAGCTCAATTCTTAAGTTAAGATATGTATATGCATGGAAGGTCACTGGATATTTTGTTATACATTATGGAAATAAAATCATAATCCGATACTCTATTTGTCCCCTTTAGCGAGGGTTTATTGCACACAAATGCTGAAATGATATTGAGGTGGAGATTGATGACGGAAATAACAGGGAAAAGGACAGACATAACATTAAGTCACATAAGCACTGTCACAGCTATATATAGCGATGAGAACAAATAACAAACATATCAACAATTAAGATACAAATTAACAAAGGAATGAAAGAAGCTGAAATCATAGTCGATTGGAGGTAGAACTCAATGACCTTTACTTGCTAACTTCTACTTTAGATTTACATTAGTGTCACACCCATGATCAAGTTAGTATATGCACGAAAATGGATGCAAATATTTGGCTTACGTTGTAGATGAAATATGCTGTTTGTTTCTTTGTTGTTTAACGCCGCACTCAGCAATATTCCAGCGATATGAGGGGCGGTCGGGTAGCCTAGTGGTTAAAGCGTTCGCTCGTCACGCCGAAGACCCGGGTTCGATTCCCGACATGGGTACAATGTGTGAAGCCCATTTCTGGTGTCCCCCGCCGTGATATTGCTGGAATATTGCTAAAAGCGGCGTAAAACCACACTCACTCACTCACTCCAGCTATATGACGGCGGTTTGTAAATAATCGAGTCTGGACCAAACAATTGCGATACGATGACATGCATCATCATCCAAGTCAGCGAGCCTGACCACCCGATCCCGTTAGTCGCCCCTTACGACAAGCATACTCGCCTTTTGCGGCAAGCATGAATTGCTGAAGACCTTTTCTAACCCGGATCTCCACGGGTCAAATGAAATATTCAATTTATTCTCCAGTGATCATATTCTAAATATGACCCTGTGATATCACCGGATGTTTATATACAATTTGGTAACCCGAGACAAACGGGAAATTACTTTGTAACCAGGTAATATTCATTCCCGAGGAATTGGACTATATATAACAACGTGAGAAGCCAAATGTACACAGTACACCGTGGGGCCAAGTCAATATAGTCACGATTCCCCAGGAAAAGCCTTACATCTGTGGTGAGGCAACATGTACCGTTATATCGGGCAGGAATTGAGGCGGTTAGAGCAGTCGTTGGGGCTTGATTGGCCGAACATTGTAACGACACGACCCTCATATATCCGCGTCATGTCCGGCTTTCCTTCCACTGAAATACTGTTCGAAGAATCTCCGGGATCGATTCCCCGAATGAGTACAATGAAAAGTCCTTTTCTGTTGTCCAAAGCACTGTATTGCTGGAGTATTGATAATAGTGTGGTATAAAATCATACTCACTCACATCCTGGTTTTCTGGGTCGGATTCCAGCCTCGCGAAGATGGTTCCTGACAGTCTGGTCCCATATACTCCCCAAACCAAGGATGCGTCCTGTAGTCTCCGTAGCTGTGGCATTGCGATGACGAAGGTGGAACAGTCGAATGCAGCGATCGAAGGCTGCAGTGGAATTGAACTGTGTGTATCGGTCGCAAAGGCGGCAAATGGTGCTGTGGTGGACGTTGACAATTGAATGACAAATTATTGGCTTATGCTTGCAACTACCACGAGTTACGAATGCCATAACTTGCGCGTGCATTTTGCTTTACTGTTTTACTCCATGCCAATTTTTAACAAGTGTAAAATCAATGCACTTTAAGACATTGCAAATCGAGAATGGCTGCGTTCTGACCCACCGGTTGTCGAATATCAGGCCACCAACAATGTCCAATGACATATATCCAATTTATATAGCGGATTTTTTTTTGTAGTCAAGTTCAACAACATATTACCTGTACGTTTCTTTTTTTGAAGAGTGTATTACAGGGTACATCGAGCATGGCAGGATAGTCTTGGGACAAGCAGGTCCTAGACATTTACCATCTGGTTACTTCATGATAATCTACGCTTTAAAAAAAGTCATCTATACTACGGAATAAAACCCTGCTAAGATCAGAAAAGACATTGCGAAGACATATTATATTATGAGGCAATGTTGTGGCACAATGTATTGTAATCATATTGTGGACATTTCAGTCTGTTGACGTCACCACTGTACATAGTTACAGTGAGTAAGTGAGTTGGGTTTAACGCCGCTTTTAACAGTATTCCAGTTATATATGTCAACTTAATGTGGGAGGAAAGCCCGAAGTGATGCAGGTTTCAGACGTTTACCACTTCGGTGAAACCAACGAGCACGGGTATGGTGCTGACAAACCTAGAAACATAATCGGGGCGAACCGAAGTTCGAAACCACAATCATAGGTTTCTGGCGTGCCCAAGGGACGCAACTCTGCACAGCGAATCGCGGCGCCTCAGACGACTGGGCCACCCTAGCCACTCCAGAGTTACAGTGAACACTATAACATAGCAGAAGTCGTGCCTCCGGTGCGGTTGCTTTTGATTGTTTGTTGTTTTACGCCGCAGTCATGAATATGTTACAGCGCCCTGTACATAAATGAATCTTATGAATGCAAACAAGTGGTTCAGATCATGAGCAACGTCTCATAACATCGGTATAAAACACAGCAGTCAAATCACCGAACCTGACCACAAGGTCCAATTGCGTATCCTCTTAGGCCATGCAATAGATAGCTGGAAAGTTGTTCCATCTCCCTATTCTTCTCTGTCGTCTATCAAGCCGATGGGGAGCCGTGTTGTTAAACGCTGAAAGCCCGAGTTCGATTCCCTTTGTAGGTACAATGTGTGAAACATGCACGTGTGTGTGTATATGTACGGGTGTGCGTGTGAGAGGGTGTTTGTGTTTGTGTGTTCTCTGGATAGATGCTCCGTCCACTAGACAAGGAGGGGGTCCGAATATATATGATTCGAATAAATATATTACTCTTAACGAGGCCAATATGCGAAAACAAGAACCGAGGCCCCGACCCATGAGGTGGCCGACCGGACATTATGAAAAGTTTTAACTGCCCTCGTTTCATTATAGTAACCGGCGAACCGTGAAACGTTACGACCAGACGCCATCTTGTTTTCTAGAAGGCGAGAGTCAATATTTATTACGTGACAGGTCAATAAAAGAAAAATAATCACGTGTTATCAAAGGCGAATCTGGTATTTCAAACCAACCAGCAGTGAGTCCTGGCACGAACAGCCATACATGTGTTATTTTGTTCGTATTTTTGCACAAGCGTGTCTCCATAGTTCCAGGGTGCAGTGTATGCTTTCTTTCCTTTGTTAATATTTCATAGTAATACTGACAATAAAGAGTGAGTGAGTGAGTGAGTTGGGTTTTACGCCGCTTTTAACATTATTCCAGTTATATCACGGCGTGTCAGCTTAATGTGGGAGGTAAGCCCGAAGTGATGCAGGTCTCAGACGTTACCTTTTCGGTGAAACCAACGAGCACGGGTATGGTGCTGACAAACCTAGAAACATAATCGGGGCGAACCGGGATTCGAACCCACAATCATAGGTTTCTGGCGTGCCCAAGGGACGCAACTCTGCACAGCGAATCGCGGCGCCTTAGATGACTGGGCCACCCGTGCCTCCCATACCAGGAAGAAGATAGCGTCGCCCAATTACAATGGCGGTCCCGACAATCGGATTGTACCCAAGCACAATGCGCGAGTGCGCCTGTCGCCTTCATGTCGGCTCAATCAGCAAGCTTGGTTGACCTTTCACCTACATTTCCAGGAAAGCGTCGCTTACCAGGAAGAAGATAGCCTTGCAAGATTAAAATGGCGGTTCTGACCGTGCACACTGAACCTCGCAAGGCAAAATACAAGCTGTGTGATGATGCATCTGGTACGTTGGAAAACTCGGGGACCAGTTGCTGTGTTGTGGAACACCGTCCACACCAAAGGGACGCTACTGCAGGACACTGCGACGGAGACTCACGCAGGGCGAAGCTGTACTTCGGTGTAGCTCTGCTGTTTGTGTCACTGGCGGTCAATATCATGGGCGTAGTGTACTTCTGGAGAGCTGTTCGGCGCGACACGGATGACAGCCCGCGAGCAGAGGCTCTTGTGTCGCTGTTGCACGATGAGGGCACGGTTTGCACGGACTGCGGGTCACTGGGTGTTCAGCCGGGCACTTACAAGTCTGACTTGCACGGGCTTTACGTGCGTCGTGTGACGGGATTATCCTATTTGTGTTGTTTACAAAATGCAGAAGGATTATGGAGACTCGCGTCAGTGGTGAGTAGTGAGTGAGTGAGTATGCTTCTACGCCGCTTTTAGCAATATTCCAGCATTATCACGGCGGGGAACACCAGAAATGGGCTTCACACATTGTACCCATGTCGGGAATCGAACCCGGGTCTTCGGCGTGACGAGCCAACGCTTAACCACTAGGCTACCCGACCGCCCCGTCAGTGGTGAGTGAACACAATCAAGAAAGACTGTGAACGATTCGGGGTGTGTATTTGAAACAGACATATTGCAAGAATGTAATTGGTACGGTTCTATATATTTTTGTTTATATTTGATTGTTTTTGCAAAATGAAAACCTTCAGGAATTTGGAGCGAGACCAGCAATCACGTTTTGTTTACCGGATGTTGCTACACTGGCCTGTAAAAGTTTGAAAATATGTTGAAGTCTGAATTTTGTTTCAATATTGTAAAGTAGTGTAAAGTTTCATGCAAGATCGGAGGGACGGGTGGGCCACTGGTCTGAGGGTCCGGAATTCGCTGTGCAAAGTTGCGTCCCTCGGACACGCCAGAAACCTATGATTGTGGGTTCGAATCCCGGTTCTCCCTGAATACCTTTCAAGGCTTGTCAGCACCATACCCGTGCTGGTGAGTTTCAACGAACTGGTAAATACATAAGACCTGCACCACTTCGGGCTTTCCTCCCACATTAATCTGACACGCCGTGATGAAACTGGAGTACTGTTAAAAGCGGCGTTAAACCTTACTCACTCACTTACTCATAAAACATCATATTTATGAAAAATATATTTTTGTCGTAAGAATCAATAACTATCTATATTAACTACTCTGTTTTAAATATATATACATTTGGGTTAATTTTGTATACCAGTAACAATTGTATCATATTGAAGTATTGGTAAGGGTGTCAGAAATAAATGAATACAGAAATGTAGTATGGCGATAAGTTCCTGTATCTTTGGGAGTTGGTATCTTTTCAGTGCGATTAATTACCAACACTAAGAGAAGATTATTTCTGCCTCGTTTTAAAATTATATTACTGTAATGACAACCCAATGTCGGGTAATTCTGACGGTATCCTCTGCTTAAATTCTTGAGGCAAAATAAAGCTACACATATTGGACAGCTAATCTAAAGGTGAGTGAGTGAGTAAGTATGGTTTTACACCGCTTTCAGCGTTTTTCAGCAATATCACGGCAGTATGCACCAGAAATGGAGGCGAACCCGGGCCTTTGGCGTGACAAGCGAACGCTTTAAACATTAGGCTATATCAGCGTCTCAAATATTATTGAACAAATAGACATTGCATCGTTGTATGGAGAATATTAAAGTAGTTCTTACTTAGTGTGGCATCCATTCAGAAATTACCAGATCGTGATGACAAATTTACGTATCCAGTTATCACATCGATATCACAACCCACTTTTAATGGGTTTCCAAGATCTGAGAAACATGCACATGTGGTGGAAGCAATAGTTTATTTGTCAGTGAAATTACGTTTAATTGTATAATAAAGCTATTATTGCCATCGTCCTCTCTATAAACTGGAAAAATACATTTTTTGTTACTTATAATTGATATTTATGATTCAGAAACTATGATATAAATTTGCGTTTGTAGTGAGTCAGTGAGTATGGTTTTACCCTGCTTTTAGCATTATTCCAGCAATATCAAGCGGGGGACACCAGAAATGGGCTTCATACATTGTGCCCATGTCAGGAATCGAACCCGGGTCTTCGGCGTGACGAGCGAACGCTTTAACCACTAGCCTACCCCACCGCCCCTTGCGTTTGTAAAACAGGTAAACGTCTTCTTGCGTCATAGTTACACGTATAAACACAGAGACGTCACTAATGACTTTTATTATTAATATGCATGTTATGGACAATGACTGTGTCTTAATATACATATGTAAATAGGTTTAAGATAATGAACTTGGACTTGGACTAGATTTTAAACGTGTGCGGAAACACGGAACACATTTCCGTAATCGGCCAACTGCAACCAATTATTGAGAATTTGTATCGGTTTAGTTCACGAACAGGCTGTACAAGCACAAACAACCAGGAATTGACGAAGGCACTGGAGCCCATCTTTACCTGGGCAGCGATGCCCTGAAGTCTGATTGTACGTACGTTAACATGTTTGGATATCCGTGAATTAGATGATAAACTACCATGTTCAGTTCAGACTATACCCGTTGCCTGTAAATCAAATGCAATACTGATAGGGGGTTTGAAATTGTCCACCTATCGGGAGTGTAAAATAAAGTCCAATTTATAATTAGACTCAGTACAAGTTCCGTTTGTTAACTCTTACGACAATCAAGGGTTGATGAAGACCAATTCTAACCCGTATCTTTACAGGTATTCACCACAAGTAAATCTCGGAAGAGCACAATAGTAATTTAGTATAACGTTTTAACTCTTCAGATCGAGTACAATCCAAATTTCATATAAGTCATGTGTATAAGTAGCACATGTTATATTCAATTTCCGTCACTCATTTCATTTGCAGCGCCGTCCTTACAATGGAATCAGGACTACGGCTATGGCTCAGCTTACAAAGGCATCGACATCAAAAGTGATGGACAGAATCTTCACATTACAAAACCTGGCCTATATCACGTCTACTCCTTCTTCACGTTCAAAACTCACCAACCACGTCAACATCCTGATAACGTCTTACATACAATCAGAAGAGACAACGCCCATCTGCCGAATTTGGGGCGCACTGTTCTTCTCATGGTCAGGAAGACCTTACCGGAAGTCAGCGAGAGGTTCGTCACGAGTTATCTGTCCGCTACAGTCAGACTGAGGCAGGATGATCACGTGTCTGTCACTGTCAGCAACATGTCATATGTCTATCGATATCCGCCATCAAATTTCTTTGGCTTGTACCACGCAGGGGAGTGAACTGCCAGCGGCACTTTAGATTAGGGTGTCAAGTATTTGTAGATGGGCATCTATGATAGTCCTGATTCTGGGTCGCATCTCAGCGCAGCTAATTAGGAAATAAACTTACTGTGTTTTTCAATGTAGGGCTTGGTTACCCGCAGTGTAACCGCGCTAAATTCAATCTCATTAAAATCAGATCTTAGTTCTCGCTGCCGCTAAATAAAGATCTGAGGACATCCCATTACGGGTCACGTCAGACCGACCTTTCGCAAACTCTGACTGACCAATGGAATTACTGACAAGAAGTCGACATTAGCCAATCAGAAGGCAGCTTTCTCGTGCTTTACGGCACAAATGTCAAATTGGCGACTACGCTTCGAAACATATTGTGACAAATTCTCGCTTACAAATTTGAAACCTGAACAAAAGAAAGTTCTAGAATGGCTAATATATGGTCTAGATTGTATAGATTATGTCGTTAAGCCCGTAACTGTCGTTCGGAATACCCTGTTTTAACGTTTTCGAGGCTGCATGATTAGAAATCACATTCCGACCGTCACTTTGATCTAGTAAGCGACGCTCTGATTGGTCGGATGAAAGGTCGTTCTGACGTGAACCCTAATGGGATGTCCCCAGATCTTTGTTTAGCGGTAGCGAGAACTAAGATCTGATTTTAATGAGATTGCGCTAAATTAAATTTGGAACCGGTATGTTTATCTCCACTCTGCCATGACTAAATAAAAAGCAAACTCTTTGGTGTTAGCAAATATATTGAGTGAAGCGGCATAGGGCAAGTGCTTGAGTGGGTTGTTGATCTGAATTACGGAATCGACGACAACAGCTTGTAAGCAAAATGTGGCGCTGTATATGCTCAAGCAGTTTGTTTACACCGTAATACTTCACTCGAACATATGACAGTCATTGAAAGCATATAAGCACGGCAACTTGGTAAGCTAACACGAGGTGGGCATCCCCAAAGAAAACTAAGCAAGCTTTCCAAGACGTTTCTTCTACACCGCACGTCACCATTATGACGTAAAGACGATCATTATGACGCAAAGGAAATGACGTCACAGTCGTATGTAGAAAGGCGCCAAATTCCAAGCCCTCTGTTGTCTCCAAAACGTAAATACATTCTCTTTGTAGATTTCTATCGTCTAAATGTATTGTCACACATCCTTTGAATATTGGAGTAACCGAAACAGTGCTTTTTCTACGACTTTCCCTTTCCCACGTTTACAACAACTTTATGATCTTAAAGGAACTTTTCTCTACTATAACCGTATGTATTTTAATATTCCAAGAGGTTGGAGACAAAATATTGATACAAATCTACATTCCTCCTCTAACGTCACAGTATCTCCTTGGATTTATGATCTTTCACGTTCTATTAAAGGAACAAAAGGGTTTTTTTTATAATAAACTGATAGGGAATTCCCTCCCTCTCCCTAAATCTTGTTTGACATGGGAAAATCAGCTAGGATGTTCTTTTCCATGGAAACAAATATTCAGGGTATATTGCCATAGGTTAAGGGACACAAAACTCAGGGATTTTTAGTTTAGATTTATTCATAAAGTAATATTTACTAAACGTGATTTATTAAGAATGAAACTTATTGATAACGATGAGTGTTCTATGTGTCATACTCACAAAGAAAATGTTTTTCATGTTTATATCGAATGTCATGTTGTTAAGAATTTTTGGGCAGATTTCTGTATTTACTTGACTCATATTTTGCATAGAAAAATCCGTATTACTGACAACGAGCTCCTCTTTGGTACCTCTGATGTATTAAATAACCATTTGATTGAAGCTGCTAAAATATTTATCTTTGTCCAGTGTATAAGGTTGAAAATGTTGACTTTGTCGCTTTTAAGAACACAATAAGAAGTATCTATGACGTTGAATATCATATTGCACGTAGAAGTAACTACTTCTCTGCCTTTAATAGAAAATGGGCTTTGTTTACTCAAACTACAAAATAACTTATTCATTTGATGCTTGCAACATAATACCATAAATACCGCATCTTCTTAATTGTATACATAAATATGCCTTCATCTGTACCATGCTGTGGATTATGCCTTAGGCCTCCTCCGTACCACATCCTTTTGCGAATTACCTTTATACATGAATCTGTACTGTTTTTCGAATACATCTGTATCCTGTGTATATGACTGAACAAAATCATTTTCTAACCTGTAATTGTAAATATAATTATTTAGACATGTCTACCGACAATGACTGAAAAAAGTACTATTCTATTAATATTAGCTTCCGCGGTGATGCGGCCGCCATACCAGTTGTTTCAATCGGAGAGGGTTTATTGTGATTTAATAGCCTCTGAGTGACCAATCAGAATCGAGAAATATCCCAGTTCATGGGGGAATACACGCTTTTTAGATCACTGAGCAGCCTGTGTCCAATATATAATTGAGGTTCTTACAACTGCATGTTTGTGAAACAGCTTAAAGCTTTTGATCGGAGATTATATATTCTGGAAAATATCTGAAATGTCTATTACAAATAGTCATGTCACTATATCTACAACTGCTTGTGCAGGACATTAATCAAGTGTTCACGTTTACCTAGGGTACAACCGCCAGTGTAGGTAGTGATGTGATGTGTGCAGTAGGTCACGACCATACGAAGAGCCTTGTGCTAAACTTTGCTAAAGGATGGCTTTTTGTACTGACACTTTTTTCAAAAGCAGGTGACAAGGCAACATTGCCATAAATACCCAAAGGATTGCAGCTGACTTGTTTGAGGTGGTCTAGTTTCAGAGTGTGGTGAGGTGAAATGGGGTATAACGTCGCGTCCAAGAATATTGCACTTATATTGCGACGTGCATGCACGTGTATGTGTGTGTGTGTGTGGCTGCTTGTACTAGTCCGGACTGATGCCGAGTTATAGTGCTAGCTCACTGAGATACCATGCCGCAGTTTAACATGAATACCCCACTCAGACACAGTATACTGACTCCGAGCCGACCAGACCTTGTTTTAGCGCCAGACAGAAGTAACAACAAGTACCATCTTTTAACGTCTCATAAGGTCGGGGAAGTTTAAAGAACTAGACATTGCCTGTTGATGCCATTCAACTGCAGCTGACCACGTGGCTGCACGTGGTACCGTGTCCAGCGCCGAGTTTGTTTGTTTGTTTATTTAACGCTGCACTCAGCAATAGTCCAGCTATATGACGGCGGTATGTAAATAATCGAGTCTGGACCGTACAATCCAGTGATTGGCAACATGAACCTCGATCCACGCAATTGGGGTCGATGACACCAGCGCTGAGTAACACACCAGGTCCGTTAATATAGCAAGGCTGTTCGCGGAGATTAGCTGGATTGTGACTGGATTGTGTTTCTTGGTCATCGGCTTGGTTACTGGTGGTCTATGACCCGTGTTTTAAAACTCTATGTGTAATATTGTCATGCTCAAATATTGCTCATAAATTGTTTCACAACTTGTTGTTTAACAACATTTTGCATAACAAAAATAAATTGTAAATATATTAACTTGGTCTCGTCGCTACATGGCTGAAATAATGCCGATGCGACGTTAAATTTTAACTCACTCACTCACTCTTGGTCTTTGGTCCTGCCCTCAATGAAGCACACGTAGCAATCAGTGTCTCCAAGCAGTGAATGTCCGTGGAATAAGATGGTAATGTCACTGATAACCGTCCAGGGACTCACAGGCAACATGGGTTGTTTTCACTCCATGGAGCCGAGAATGACTATCGAGCGCCCACAGATTGACTGACCGTAATAATCAAGAACACCTGGAGCATTCACTTGGGGAATGAAATCGACCACAATATAAATGGACATATTATCAGTAGTTGTAGTATGAGGAGTTGCAGTCAGAGGAGTGTTTAGAAAGAAGATAGATCTGAATGGGCAAGGAACACAAAATTACAAACTCACTCACATACAAGAAAAATACGCTCACATGGACTATAACTTTTGTTTTACAGTAACACTGCACGGTTTTGGAACTCTTGCCACCAAGAATATTATCTGTGGCATCTTGGCCACTCTTACCACTCTTACTAATATTTGACCGATTTATACATGAGTATAATGCCAATAATTGTTCTTGAAGTAAAAGTTCATATTTAACACCAACATATTTTATAACCTAACATTATGGCGGTTAAAACAGCCTTGTGTATGTGACAAAAGTATCGTTCGTCTTATGTGACATCAGTTGTCTATACTGTGCAGAAGGTATACAGGTGGTAGTGTTTTGCCGTTGCAGTTGTTGTGATTTATGTTGGCACTCTGATGCTTATATCAATAAAGGTATCATTTGAAACTTTTTTCCCTGTTATATTCCAAACAACAGTCACTGAAGTAATATTGGTATTATAAGGTCACCTCTATGGAACATCACAAAATAGACACAATTGATGGATGACACCTTCTTTGTTTACCGTAAAGGGGAGATAATGGTATTATGATCTATACCGAAACGTCGCCTTTACCTTAAATAAAAAAGTAGTTATCCATATATTGTGTCTACTTTTTCATCCGCCAACTTATAAGTACTGCCTATCAAACAATGCTGTGGAACGACTGTTTGATATCCTACATTCATTTCATCATGGGGGCGGTGGGGTAGCCTAGTGGTTAAAGCGTTCGCTCTTCACGCTGAAGACCCGGGTTCGATTCCCGGCATGGGTACAATGTGTAAAGCCCATTTATGGTGTCCCCTGCCGTGATATTGCTGGAATATTGCTAAACGCGGCGTAAAACCATACTCCCTCACTCACTCATTTCATCGTGGGGCCCCTGCTCTCTGTGCTTATGATGATCAGGTGGTAGTGACTGATTAGACAACATGCTGACCCAGAGAGATTTTATCTGGTATCAGAGATATAGCCTTAAAATATCATTCATTCGTTTCCAGTATGATCTTGTCTTTCACCGTCCTCGATTACCGAGGAAATTATCCCTCTTGACCCAAACGCCATCAGGGGCGGTGGGGTAGTCTAGTGGTTAAAGCATTCGCTCGTTACGCCGAAAACCCATGTTCGATTCCCCACATGGGTACAATATGTGAACACTCAATTTCAGTAATATTCTAGCAATATCACCACAAAATATCAATATCACCTTTGTATATAAAAGGAAATATCAAACGTAATGATGTCACTGCTACTTTCAAAACTCGCTGGTATTTTCGAGGAATGAATGCTTGATTTATTGTGTCGGCGTGCACCAGGTGCTAGTGAGATTGTATCAACTGTTTCATTCTTCGGGAATGAAGGTTATCCGGGTCAGGTGGACATGACACTCTTATACATTCGTTGATTGAAGTTTGTTGTTGAACGCTGCACTCAGTAATCTTCCACCCGTACATCGTTATAATACATACTAAACGTACTACTGAGATGGCACATAAGAGCGATATTGAAAGACAGAATTAGATAAGAAAATATTTACATAAACACATGTTCGCCTTTGTACTAATCATCAGAGCAGAAAACAGAGTAAACGTTGCAGATAGTGCATCCGCATAACATTAATGTTATAACAGACTGATACATGATTATTGACATATCATTAACAGTGTCACATCCACGTTAAGTAATGATGAAGTAAACATACACATAGACGTTCTCTTTAAGCACTCTGTTTGTGATCATATCGTAACATGTATCAGATGACATCACGAGAATGGTTCAAGTGACAAGACTGCCCTCGTGAGACATGACATTCGATCTCCCTCTACACACCAGAACTATCACAAGACACATGACCCTCTCTCACTCCCTGGCTGATATCTTGGAACGTATCTCGTGATGCTGAACAAAGTGGTGTGTTTTCGCGAGCCATGTTTAAGGTTCCCCGACAAGTTGTGCGTTCCTTTTGTCTTTCACTTAATTGGTAATATTTACGGCGTGTCCCCGTCCTCATTTATTCACTGGGCATGGTATATTACCGCATCAGATGGGTTTCTTTTCCTAGCCTAGTGGTTAAAGCGTTGGCTCGTCACGCCGGAGACCCGGGTTCGAATCCCGACATGGGTACAATGTGTGAAGCCCATTTCTGGTGTCCCCCGCCGTGATATTGCTGGGATATTGCTAAAAGCGGAGTAAAACCATACTCACTCACTCACTAGCTTCGGTTTTTAAATCAGCATCATTGATTACAATATCAATCGCTGGTCTGAAAGGGCTTCATGTACTTACAGGCCGCTGTCATATATTTGGAATACTGTGATCCGAATATAGCTGTGTTCGGCCTCAAACAACAAGCAAAAACCAAACCCCGTTCGAAACAAGCAAGTCTGCTAGTGACAAACTCATTGTACCGGTTACATTCGCACAAACACTGCAGTGGAGCAGGGGAACATAGGAGCATCCCTTCAAGTGACAGTGCCACTCCTCCGTGCAAGAAACAACATACACGACAGAATGACGTCTGGTTCCATGTTTATCATATGCTCTTGTGCCCTGCTGTTAGCTGGTAAGATACCCTTTATTGCGTGTGTATGTATGTTATATATGTGTATATATGTTTCACTGACTTTGTTATATGTGTTGGATGAAACGTTTCCAAGTACTATTGATGAGTTGTTATATGTGTAGGATGAAACATTTCCAAGTACTGTTGATGAGTTGTTATATGTGTAGGATGAAACATTTCCAAGTACTATTGATGAGTTGTTATATGTGTAGGAGTGAGTGAGTGAGTTAAGATTTAACGTCACATCTGTAATATTTCAGCCAAATCGTGACGAGAAGTATATTAATAATACATATTTTAGACAATATAAAAAGCTGTCAACGATGGACAGTAAAATAACTAGAATATCACAGATTAGATTTAAAACTAGTTGATAATATATAACAGTCACGAGTATTAGTGAACAACACAATATAAAAATGGGCTCGAGATCGTCAGTAACTAAAGGGAGATCACCATACCAGGGACCATGGTCTTACTTACGGTGCCTTTGCTTCCTGTGTGGACCCCAGCAGGATTTATATCATCCCTTCAGTCACTGGCGACAGTGTACCAATTAAGCCAAAGATTAAAAAGACGAATATTCTACGCTTAAAAGCCTGGCATGCAGAAAAATACTTCAAATGTTATTGGACTTACATACCCTCTTAGGGGGGACAATAATTTTACGCTACTGCAACCCCCCTCGAGGGTACAGCCACAAACAATCTAAGTTATGAATTTTGCTCTACCAAAGTTTAAAACAATACAGTAAATACATCAACATTCATGAATAAGGTCTATTTCCTTTAAAAAACATAGTATTAAATGAGAATGAACTTTACTAAAAAGGTCCTTCACGGTTTTTACACTGAAATATTTATCCCTTGTGATGGAAAAAATCAATATCATATATATATGATGAGTTGATATATGTGTTGGATGAAACATTTCCAAGTACTATTGATGAGTTGTTATATGTGTAGGATGAAACATTTCCAAGTACTATTGATGAGTTGTTATATGTATAGGATGAAACATTTCCAAGTACTATTGATGAGTTGTTATATGTGTAGGATGAAACATTTCCAAGTACCATTGATGAGAGTAAGAACCATCATCCGAGGGGCGTTACCCCGACGTATTTCCCGAGGATCGGGGGTTTTAATCTCATGAAACCTCGAGAGGAAGTGTTTTGTTTTACTTATAAACTAAAATAAAATCTAAAGCAACAATTGCATCTTTCAAACACTCTTTCCATGAACCTTAGGACACGGACGTAAAATATCTCTTGCTGGCAAATGTGTACTTGAAAACGAGATTCTTCAAACATATTGGGCCGTGAAGATCCGGGGTAGAATAGGTCTTCAGCAACCCATGCTTGCCGTAAAAAGTGACTATGCTTGTCGTAAGAGGCGACTAACGGGATCGGGTGGTCAGGCTTGCTGACTTGGTTGATGCATGTCATCGATCCCAATTGCATCGATCGATGCTCATGATATCAATCACTGGATTGTCTGGTCCAGACTCGGTTATTTACAGACCGTCGTGATATAGCTGGAATATTGTTGAGTGCGACGTTAAACAACAAACAAACAAAACAAACAAATGAAACATAGTGTGGTTTATCAGGATATTGTTCGATCACTAGACCACAGATACGCAGGTTGTTGGGAGCCTGACAATTGTGCACAATATGTATGAGGGATTGTCTATCTTGAAAACAATCAATATTCTCTCAGGCGAGTGAGTGAGTGAGTATGGTTTTACGCCGCTTTTAGCAATATTCCAGCAATATCACGCCGACGGACATCAGATATGGGCTATATACATTGTATCCATGTCGGGATTCGAACCCGGGTCTCCGGCGTGACGAGCGGACGTTTTAACCATTAGGCAACCCGACCGCCCCTCTCTCAGGCGAAAGAAACTTTGCAACGATGTACATTGTCGTAGATAAGCATTCATTAGATATTAATTATTTCGACTTGATTGTGATTTTGTACACTATTAATATATAATGTAGACATTGTCGGGATAATGTTTGTTTACTTCACTGAAATATTTTACCAAACATATTACAGTGGTGTATGCTACACTTGAGGCCAATGGCAACCCCGACAGCGAGGCGGCTAAGGAGATGATTAGAGAGAAACGAGGGCTAAGAGGGAACCGTCACCATCGCCACAGGGGACATAGAGGAGGTGAGGATGACGAAAGCAGTGATAGAGATTACAACCTTCAGCATGGTAGGGGAAGACGTCCCGGGCGCAGGGGCAGGCCTGGACGAGGCCGTCGACCTGGTGGGAGACCCGGGAGAAGAGGTCAATGTCGTAGGGTAGGAAGTGCTACAGATTTATCCGACATGCCTCAAAGAACACAGCGACTCATCACAGCGTTGGTTGGTGCGCAGAACAGTTTCACAGTCAACCTCCACAGGGAAATAGGCCAACCTGTTACAGACGTTGTGTACTCTCCGTTTAGCATCCATCAAGCGTTGACCATGACCTACATGGGGGCTAATGGTGATACTGCATATGAAATGAAGAGAACACTCGCTTTACAGGGACTAGGAAGACGTACAGCCCGGGCAGCGAAGAAACTGAACGAAGTCATCAGACAATCTGGCAATGCTACGCTAAAGACGGCGAATGGCATATATGTGAAAGCTGGATTGAACATTGTGGATGATTTCTCAGATAGACTGGATGTATTCTACCAAGCTAATATCTCCTTGTTTGACTGGGAACACCCAGATGGCCCAGAAGGTCCAATTAATGAATGGGTCTCTGCACAGACGAACAATCTCATCCCAGACCTACTGGCCCCTGACACCATCACAGATTTGACAGCTCTGATTCTAGTCAACGCAATTTACTTCAAGGCAACGTGGAAGACACCATTTCCACTACACCTCACAACTCAGCAGATGTTCAGAAAGTCACGTACTGAGCAGGTGCCCGTTCAGATGATGCAAGTAGAAGGGATGTTCAAGGTAGGTACTGTCCCTGGTCAGGGTGCGAGAATATTAGAGTTGGCATACGAAGATGACCGCTTCAGTATGCTCGTGTTGCTTCCTGATGACGTCGACAACCTACCCACATTGGAGAACAGTCTGTCGGCAGATATTCTAACCAGCAGGCTGGACACAGTCGTAGCCTCAACCATAAAGGTATTTCTTCCCAGATTCAAACTGGAAACATCAGTGTCGGTAAAACAATCTTTACAAAACATGGGGATGACCAAGCCATTCATGGAAGGGACAGCAGACTTCACCGGCATCGTCAGCACTGGCCAACTTTACATCTCTGATGTCATTCACAAAGCTGTTGTTGACGTCAACGAAATAGGCAGTGAGGCGGCAGGAGCCACGGCAGTTATTGTTAGTAAGTATTTAATGCAATAAGAGCGACAAACCCACGTGTAAATGGTCACACAAATTTAAAAGCAGAGTCCATTTTACGACTCTGTTTAAAATATAAGTATGTGCTGATTATATAATTTAGTTGCCTTTGCATTTGTTTATGATGATACTATCGGTGGAACGAACTCTTGGCATCATTACTATTGAAGAATGACCTTATTCGGTGAAAATCATTCCAGTGTATCCTGATGTATCTTAATCTCGTGTACTGTATCATAGGCTTAAACATAGCTTTACCATGTTACCACCTTCAGATTTCACGGCTCCAGTACGTCAGTGCTTTACGAGACATGCAGAGCAATATTCACAATTTCACTCTTGTACAGGTTTAACTATATTCCTACACCATCCATTTGTGACGTTCTGCTCGAAAATATTTGTATGTTCTCTACTCAGTTGGTTAAGGCGTCACAAATATCACTAACACCATACATGTGGGTCTGATCCCAGATTCGCCCAAGTTATTGTTGGTTCGTCATAAGGCCCAGTACAGTCACCGAAACACGGCAAACTTAAGAAACACAACTATGATACGCGTATCAAAAAACACCGAAAATAATTTCGTGTTAGGCCACCATCAAACATGGGTAAATACTTTCTTTTGCTCAAATGTTTAGTTGCCGCTAATCACCGCTCACTTGTTATTCCAAAAAAGTGTATGGATTTTGTTGGAGACAGAATATTTTTCATGAACTGTCTTAAGACATGCTTTTCATTTCAGTGACATGTCGTGCCGAAAGCATCAGTTAGAAAGTCTACCATTTTTAATTATTTACTCTAGATATCGAATCCGCCAGTCTCCACCCACCACCTGAGATTCGCTGTGATCATCCGTTCCTGTTCATCATCAGAGACAACGTCTCCAAAGCCAACCTCTTCATCGGCAAGTTCTCCGGTGGAGCTTAGGCGTGCAATATTCCATGTCTCCTGAACTGATGTTGAACGACTCATTAGACTGGCCTATCAAAGAAACCCGCAGAGACTCTGGACTCATTCAAACTCTGGAATGTGTACACACACATAAAAAAATGTATACATTGTCAACGGTACCAAAACAGTAAATCATTCCATTCAAAAGGTACCGGGTTTTAATCATGATGATGTGTATTTTATTGAGATTGTGTCTTGTGTGTCATTTGAGTAGACACTTCTATTTGATGGGTGTACATATTCCACAGTTTGGTTTCTCTCTGCTGTTTTCTTTGGCAGACCTCTTCGAATCACACTTCAACTGGGGAAGTACAGGGAGTCCAATTCGAAGATTGTGTCGTACATCAGACTACCTATTGGAAGTTACATTTTTTGTTTTACTTGAACTCCTGAAGTTACAAATTAAAAATATCTGAATATATACTCTTCAAAAAAAGAAACGCAAAGCCAGATGTGTATGAGGTATTTATACGATGAACCGTACAAGGTATTGAGCCAAAATGTTGTGGAGAGAACGCTTGGTGATTGTAGTCATCTCTGTTATCGGTGCTTAGGAAAAAGTCCAAGGTGAAGGCCAGCTACCATCAATAACGCGTAATTCCCCTGCCTGCAAGCAGCCTATGATGTGGTTTCTTTGCACTTCTGTTAATATCGGGATGTTGTTTGAACCGCCACTGTTCGATTGACGCAGAAGCCAGGCAATCACAAACCCTGCACTTTAATCCCTTTTATAATGCCGATGCACGTGCAGCTCCATGGCCCTTTTGTTGATGCCCGGGTGCGTTTTTCCGAATCGTACGTGTTTCCCGACTAATGGTTTGAATGTCCTTGTAATCATTTTGATCCGGGAAATTTGTCACTGATACTATAACACATTCAACTACTTCATTACGAACCTCATCGTCAGCTAAGTGTGGCGTCAAACAACAAACAAACAAAGAAAACAAATATTACCCGTCCAACTCAAAATTGACGCAAGCTTCGCTGAAACGATCTCCTGGACAGCGATAGGCCCTTGCTGGACCAAACAAGACGTACCTGACGGTTATGTGGAAGCAAAACTGGGCATATCACTGGATGTTGTGCTCTCTTGTTGCCTACAGTTCTTCCACTAAATCGCCTGAAGCCAGGTATTGCCTATGCTGTTAATGTGGTAAATTTGTATTGCTTCTGCAGATGAACCAACCGAATATGCTTGTCTTGTTCATGATCAGGTGGTGACATATGTGGGCGAAAGGTCCGTGGCAAGTCATGAGTGTTGCTGTAGATAACGTCTCGGAAGAGATAATATTGTGTCACATTATATTTTACATAAAGGGGATACTGTCATATAGAGGTGAGGTGAAATTGGGTTTAACGTCACGTCCAAGATTTTTGCACTTATATAGCGAAGTGCATGTACGTGTCTGGGTGTGGCTGCTGGTGCTGGTCGGGACTGAAGCCGATTTATAGTGCTAGCCCACTGAGATACCATGCCATACCCCACACAGACACAGTATACTGACTCCGAGCCGACCAGTCCTTGTTGAGCCCTTAATGCCGAGCGCCAGGGTAAAAACAAGTACCATCTTTTAACGTCTTTTGGTATGACACGGCCGGCGATCGAACCCCGGACCTTCCGCCCTACCCGATTGATAGAGGAAAAGTAACAAATTTCTGGAATAGATTATTTCATACCTCTGTAAATGTTGAACCACGCCTAAGTGAACAATAAAATAATTATACATGATATGACTGGTATCCATTCATTTCGTCCATATCGTTTCCTAGACAGCAAGGGGACACATATGCAAGTGAAGACTACATGCGCCTTAAAGACCCGTGAAGTTCAGCAACCCATGCTTGCCGTAAAGGGCAACTATGCTTGTCGTAAGAAGTGACAAACGGATCGGGTGGTAAGGATTGCTGACTTGGTTGATGTATGTCATTGTTTCCCAATTGCACACGTGGGTGCCGTGAAGATCCGGGATAGAATAGGTCTTCAGCAACCCATGCTTGCCGTAAAAGGCCACTATGCTTGTCGTAAGAGGCGACTAACGGATCGGGTGGTCAGGCTCGCTGACTTGTCATTTACTGGCTTGTCTGGTCGAGACACGACTATATACAGACAGCCGTCATAAACATGTATCTTAAACCTACAGGTAATGTGATGTTGTCCCATACTGCATTGTCTCGAGGAGACATTTTGGGACATCACTATTAAACGGCAACACGAAAGTACGTCACATACCGAAAACACGATCTCAAATGTTGTACTGTCTATGCCTACTTTGTTGTTGTTAAGGGGCAAAGTTAAAGTTGCGTCCCTTCGGCACGCCAGAAACCTATGATTGTGGGTTCGAATCCCGGTTCGCTCCGATTATGTTTCTAGGTTTGTCAGCACCATACCCGTGCTCGTTGGTTTCACCGAAGTGGTAAACGTCTGAAACCTGCATCACTTCGGGCTTTCATCCCACATTAAGCTGACACGCCGTGATATAACTTGAATAATGTTAAAAGCGGCGTACAACCCAACTCACTCACTCACTTGTTGTTAAATATAACGTTGTATTCATGAACAAACTGTATATGTATCAACTTGGTCTTGTCGTCGCTTTATGGCTGAAATAATGACAATGCGACGTTAAATTTAACCCACTCACTTACTGTTGTGACTGCCTCCACGGTCTAGAGGTAGAGCGCCCGCCCAGTGACCCGAACCTCCGGGGTTCGATACCCGGCCGCGTCATACCAATTGACGTTAAAAGACTTGTTACTCGCCTTGCGCTCGGAATTATTAGGCTCAAACAAGGTCTGGTCAGCTCGGAGTCAGTATACTGTGTAAACGTGCAATAACCTTGGAGGCAAGGTTAAACCCAATTTCAATCACGTGTTTCAAAAGATAAAATCTATTCTAAGTAATTTGTACATATATACACATATTTGCGGTTTACCGTAACAGTGGGGATATTGGATTGAGTGAATTAAGAACATTTGATAAGAATGGAGAGAATGAGAGAGGAGAAGGAAGAAGAAGAAGAAGAAGAAGAAGAAGAAGTACGCAGCTACTTCCAGACATTCCTTGACATCCAGTAACTGTTACAATCTAAAACTACCATCAAACGAAAGCGTGAAAAGGAATCATGAATATATTTGAACTGATGCTTGCTCATGTAAATTTATCTGTTAAGCCCATGCCGACTGCATTAAAAACTAGTGTTTTTGAGCGAGTGAGCAATTTGGTGTCCACCAACACGAGATAAGAGCCACGAGTGAGTGTGTGAGTAAGTATGGTTTTACACCTCCATTTGCAATATTCCATCAATATCACGACGGCGACGCCCGGGCCTTCGACAGGAGGAGCGAATTCTTTGACCAATTTGATACCCAACCTACAGTTAAGAAACATTTTTCTTACATTTAAGAAAAGGGAAAAGTTCTTAACCAATGATTAATATGAACACGTATTAAGAGGAAACCACATGTATTTGGGTTGATACTCACTACATATTTAATAATGGCTTTCAGTAATGCAGTCCCCAGTGGTCGGGTGAAATAGACGCTTTGTAAACAAGAACTGATGCTTCTTGTAGGATTTACTTTTCTGCTCTACTTTTCAAACTGTATTGCTCATATATACACTGTTAACAGAATTGATGTACCTATCTCCTGTGACAAACTCTTTTGTACTTTAAGTACTGATACTTTCCAAAGCTTCATTGTTTATTTATGCACTGTAAACAATTCCATATAAAGTAATCGGTTGGGACAAACCCCTGTGGACAAGAAATGATCTTTTTAGTATGATCTGCTCTATATTTTTACTATTGTTAGTTTTATATACTCTGTTATCATCTGGTGCTCTATCGTTACAATGGATACCGATTAATGAATAATGTAAAATGGGCCGGTGGCCCCCTTACGAAATAAAGTCATTCATTCATTCGTTAAGAAACAAGTAACAGAAACAAAACGTTTACACATTAGTTTTTGTCTTCCTTTGCACTCCATTTCATGGATATTTTCAATATCTCAAGATATACAGATGCAGAATTTGTTACGTCACTGTAGCACATCTCGAAATTAAGTCAACAGTTAAAAATGTCTACAAAAACATCCACTTCTCCTCAGGGGCTGACAGTTTGATATTAGGCAATGGAAACGGCCTGAGATTTATTAATGAAAACTTGGAGTTTAAATATAACTAGTTTTAAGAACACCTTGCAGCAATGGCATCATTTTTACAGACAAGTTCTTTATATTTCAGCTGCCTGAAGCATAACTGTTTTTTCAAGCATTTTCTGAAATAATAGTTTATGGTCAGATAGAAAAAAAATGAACTGTTATATATGGAACAAGCAATACCATTTCAACCAAATGCAGTAATGTATTAATCAATGTAGTATGTCATATTGTAAAACAATCAAACACACTGTTCAATTCACACAAGGTTTCAACTATATGGTGTTGACCTTCCATAGTTAGGTGCCTTTCTAAAACTAAAACTTCTATGTCCTCAGTTACATGTCCTTAGTTACATGTCCTTAGTTGCATATGTCCTTAGTTACATATGTCCTTAGTTATCGTCCACAGCAATGAAGTTGTATGCGCCATCATGATGCCTAGAAGAAAAGAAAATGTGCCATTTCCTATTATGTATCACATGCCATTTCACTGCAGTTGAGACCGCCTCCGTGGTCTGGTGGTAAAGCGTCCGCCCCAAGTGCGGAGGTTCCGAGGTTCGATCCCCGACCGCATCATACCAAAAGACGTAAAAAATAGTACTTATTGTTACCCTGTCTGGCGCTCGGCATTAAGGGGCTAAAGCAAGGACTGGTCGGCTCGGAGTCAGTATACTGGGGGTATTCATGTTAAACTGCGGCATGGTATCTCAGTGAGCTAGCACTATAAATCGGCATCAGTCCCGACTAGTACAGGCAGCCAAACAAGCACACACATGTACATGCACGTCGCTTTATAAGTGCAATAATCTTGGACACGACGTTAAACCCCACTCACCTCACCTCACCTCATTGCGGTTGATGAAATATGTTTCTTGCAAATGTTCACAATATAAACTAAATAGAATATATACCCATGTGACCTAGATGATGATGTTTAGGCAACGAGCAATCACTTGATCGGATGACGTGACTCTGATTCTGAGTTGGAGATGTCACGTTCCTAGAGACGAAGATTGGCGAATGTAATTATAAGGGCATGGTCACAATATCAAACGTCACTATTCTAAATATCACCAAAGAACAGAACATGAATGTTGCGAGGCACATGGACATTCATGTGGGAACAAGATGATAAATTTTAGTTTCAATTACAAGGTAACGTTTGAGTTGAAAATGTTTGAGGACGATGGGCGACGAAAAACGAGACAAAGGCACTTTTAGTCAGGTCATCAAGAACTGCGTTCAGAGAAACTGAATAGAAAATATGTTAACTATTAACAGTTCTTGCTAGTTTCCTACTTGGTACGGCTGATGAAACAATAATATCCACTGGTCACACAACCTAACCATTCGTTCCTTGAATAATGGAATAACAGGACACAGGACCTCAATAGACTTTTTATTACATCAGATTATGTGACACTTTTTTGAATGTCGCCACAGCTTGGTAGTTAACCTGAAAGGAAACAAGTTTGGATGATATGTATTTCTGATATCACATCAATATACATTTACAGCACAGCTTTGTGTGTGGCCTCATTTACATGATTCAAATGTTTGTACAAAGAACAATATAAGTGACGGGTTGTTTACAATTCCTACCTTTGGCGAGCTTTCCACGGACCTCAACTTCGCAGACTGTGAAAATTTCCTCTCTTGGTGGAATGTAACGCAACAACACAAATCGACCCGTTGTCGAAGGTTTGCAGGTCAGAACTTCAGGTCTTGATAGTTTCCCTTTCTTTTGTGCACATGTCATCGGCTGAGAACTTTTGTTCTCCATGGGGTTTTCTTTATAAACTAGTATTTCCAGGTCACGGAATCTGTAAACTGATATAAAAATACAATACAATATCATATCATTATCAATATCAGGAACTAATACATAAAGGCCAAAACAAGATCGTGTACCCTCGTGGTTAACTCGTTCGCTCGTCACGCCGAAGACCTGGGTTCGATTCCCGACATGGGTACAATGTGTGAAGCCCATTTCCCGCAGTGGTATTGCTGGAATATTGCTAAAGGCAACGTAAAACCATACTCACTCACTCAAAACAAGATCAAAGTTCACTATTGCACGAAAAGAAACGAAAAGTGTGTTGCATCCGACTACTAATTGATAATTAATAGGCTTTCGAATAATAGCAGTTCTGGCGGACATATTGAAAATCAGATTTAAACCACTTGATTTATTCTGCATGTATCGTTTCCTATAGCATGTTACATAAATATAAAAAGGTGTTTATTTCAAGCACATACTGCAACCGTCCGTCCGTCTGTAAAGGGTGACGTTATGTACATCATAGATATCCTGCAAGTCAACCATCCACCAAGGTCTCAACACAGATTGAGCAGAAGTAAAACAGTGACCTCCTCTGCGATTGCCGCCCTTGTCACCATCAACCACGTGGTTAGGATCTGAATACTTGTCATAGTTTGTACATCCGTATGCTGGTTTTCTTAAGGCCAGATTGCCTAAGTCTTTGTGACAAAATACATAATATATAATTAAAACAGTGCTTACATGAGGCATGACATCTTACAAAAACAAAGTTTACATGCAAGT